CCAGCATCTGCAGGGAAATACCGCAGATGAAGTCACAGTATGGCTGGGGCTGTGGAGCTTTATATAAGTTTCAGAAGGTGAATGTGAAAGTATACGAACACACGGTGGTAAGAGGCATGAGCCAAACTCTCTCTACAACCCATGCAATCGCCTGCTCATGGGCAACAATATAACAGCACGCATACTTGGCATACTTCTATTTCAAAAAAAACAAACGACCATGAATCAAGTTGTCAAGAAGTCAATAGCAACAACATCACAAGATCACGAAAGTAACAATCGTGCCTCAAGTCACGCACTCAGAAAATACAGCTTAAAGCTACGACTTAACTCAATCCCTGCAGCAGTCTAGTGATGACAAAAGCAGAGGTTGCAAAAGCTCTCTCCCTTTACAAAGACTGCTGTCTCAACCCTTCACCACTCGCCATCATGAGTCTGGTCGTGCTGCATGGTCTCAAGCTGGGCAATAAAGCATGTGCAAGAGGCAAGTTTCAAGTTGCTCCTGAAACCACAACTTCTCGCGCTGGCTCCGTTGCTTCATCTGCTTCCTGGCAGCAAACAGCAAAAGGCAGCAACGCAACCTTTGCACCATGTTCCTTTCAATCTCCGTGTAGTCTTGCTCTCAATAAACACTGGTTAGGTATCAATCTAATCTATGTAATATATCTACACTTATCTACACCATATAACCATATATCTTATCATCTATCTATCTCCCTATCTGTCGATCTATCTATCTATCTATCGACCTATCTATCGATCTATCTGTCTCTCTCTCTCTCTCTCTGTCTGTCATCTGCCGATTTATCTACAATACAGTACCTCCTCTGGTACCAATACTTCAGGGAACTTGAAATAACTTGTGCAACTATCAGGGACGTGCTACACATGTATGCAAATCACAAAGGGTTGTCAATAACAAATCAAAGTCAATGCCTGGTTCATCCTGGTTCATATACCTCTTCATCAAATTCAATTGACCATGTTTATATATAGTGTCCTCTCTCATCAAGAACATATCTTCTCTCATGAAGAACCTGCTAGAAAAACACATCTACCTGGTCTGAACTTCCCTGAAGCTAAAACAAACTATATATATACACACATACTCACTACTAAGGCAAAAGCTGTTCTTCTTTACAGTTTCAGGACTCATGCATTGGCCATTGGTCAAGAGATGGACCAAAAGATGTCCATTCAGCAAAGGTTCGTTGCCACATTTCAAAGAAATCACATCAAATCAGAAAATTGTAATGGGCAAATGTTGCTTCGGTCTTGGAAAACAATAAACAGCACAAAATGTTGTGAAAAAAGAAAGCAACAACAAAAACGTATTGGCCTACTGCCCACTATAGCAATGAACGTCACATTGGGACAAGGTATCCATTCATGAAAAACATTTGCTCATACAAAAGCAGGACAGTGTTGTTCTTTATCTCGGACGCGTGTTTTGATCTAGGACGTTGGTTTCTCTTTCGGACACAAATTCATACCAACTAAAACATTGACTTTTATTTACTAAACTAAGCCTCCCGAAAACCTGTCACAAACGGGCTCACATTGGGATGCGCAGCCTTTTGTGTGCTAATGCTTTTGGTAGAGCAATGTTCTTTTTGGTTACGATGCAAGGCAACGATCTTTTTTGCCCTTCTATTGCAAGGATCCTCTGATCTAAGGCAACAGGGCACCGCTTCTTGTTCATCCTTCTTATTGTTCACCCTTATTATCAATGTATTGCTTTATGGAACCGATTTTGAAAGAGCAAGTAGTAGGCAATAGTCTAGTTGTTTGTGTCAATTGCAAGTGTGGTGCGTCAAGAATGTTAGTAGGATAAAGTTCTACATAAACTGGAAGCATCGTATGTTGTAAACAGGGACACAGTTCCACTATGATCATACAGGGGTTCATATTGGGTTGCCGCAGTTATTGTCTGCTAAGGCTTAAGGCGTATGGTAGAGCCAGGTCTTTTTTGCGATAACAACACCACAATTTAGTCCTGGCGCTCATGTGAAGGACATGTTTTCGTACACAGGGACACTATTAATCTAAGGGTAGTAAAGCCCAATGTGTACAGTAAATGCATCAGTTCTGTTCACCCTTCTCACTCATTTTACTGCAAGGATTGGTTTTGTTCCCCAAACTGCATGGTCACACCAGGTCTCTTACCTCAAGATCTGCTTGATGTTACACCTCTACAGCCTCTACATTTCTCTGGATTACAGCCCTCGCTCTCTGGATCTCGGATCTCTAAGTGTTTTTTCTAGATCTCTAGATCTCTCTAAACTTCCAGATATCTCGGGATTTCAAAGGTCCTCAAGAACTCCAATCCTGTCTGGGTCTCAAGAGCTCTACCAAACCTAGGTCTGCCTGGATCTCAACACCTGCTAGATCTCAAAATGCCTAGACCTCTGGATCTTTAGACCTCAAAAGCAACGCTGATTGGGGTCTCTTGCCGGGATAATGGCTAGTTGCAAAGAATTCCAAGCTCATAGCAAGGAATTGTTGCAAAACCCACAGCTAGGAAACGATGCGTGGAAACATCCTGACATTGCAGAGTCTTGCGTCTGAAATGCGCACAATACGAGAGTACAGACTCCTGGTGTACCATGTCAATCTTGCATCTCTCGGGCCAAAGGAATGATATTGGTGGGAGGTTAAGGATATATAAGAGTGCGTTGTGTTTGATCCCTATTTTTTCATTGACTATCTTTCGCGGATCTGTCTCGGCCTCATTGCCAAGCGCAAAATAGAGTCTAATTAACAAGTACTTGAAATAATTGAGCCAACAGTGATTCGTACATTGCAGCATCGTTCACACAACTGTGAAACGATTGAAATTTGTCACAGCTACTCTAGTGTCACTTGCAGTCTTTCTGGGACAAAACTTTGAGGAATATCCTTGAGGAAACTTGGAACAAAGTAGTGCCCTCGCGCCAGCTACCAGCACAGCGCAATTTTCCAAAATGTTTTCTCGAAATTTCCTATCGCACGCAAAATTTTTATCATCTCAGAGCTGAGGACCGTTGCCCCACCTTCAGGGCTGCGCAAGGGTGGTGCAGTTGCAGTTTGTGGGTTAACTTCGGGAGGGCAATCCTTTACACATGTATTGTCCGGGCTGCGCAAGGACAAGTTGAGTTCTCAGCTTGTTAATGCATGAGAGTGGGGGCAGGAATCGGCGGAGAACCCTTTGCGCCCTTGGCCTTGCGAGACGACAACAGGATAAAAACACTTGTCTCCTGGACAAAAGGTTGGCGCCACTCCCGAGTCACCTTCAGGGTGCAGTGCATCAGTTCCCCGCCCTAACGAAAGATGTACCCCCTTCTTTCGCCTTCCAGAATTTCTGGGCTAGCCGAGCGAGCTTCTTGAAAAAGAAACAGCCATGCCTTCGTTAAGGTAGATTCTTGAAGCGCTGAGCCGCTTCCGTATCTGCCAACCCCTGCCTTACTGGAGTGAGTACGGTCAAGCAATCTGAGCGCCGCAGGGAATCCAAGCATTGAGTGTACACCGCCGGTTGGCAACAGAAGAACAAAACTGGGCGTGGAGGATTCTGTTTAACAAAGCCGCAGCCACTTCAGAGCAACTGTGGAAATGAGCACTTTGCGGCCTGCGTCTTTGGCCGCAATCCAATCCTCCGAATCTGGATCCTGAGCGATGGGCCTGGCCCTCACACCGGGCTGCCACAGCGCCGTCTCCCACTCCTCCACGAACTGGCGCTCCCGCCTCTTCTCCTGCTTTGGCCTCCTCAACCTCTTCAGCAGCTCCTTCAGCAATCGGCCGCGACTCCTTACCCGAGCTCGGTTGAAGCGGCTTCCCAAATCTTTGCTCTCTGCTTGCCTGGCTCGCCCTTGCCATTCCTTCCTAAGCCAGACTTTCTTCTCCTTATTATCCCTTCGGGGCTGATGGCTTTTGCCTCTTGTGCCACTTCGGCCTCGATCTTCCTCTCTTGACGCACGTCCGGCTCCTTCTCCTCCGTCTTGGGCTGTGCGGCTTATAGGATGTAAAGCGGGGCCTCTACGTCTCCTCTTCTGTCCTCTTCGCGGGTCCTCCTGCGGCTTCTCTCCTCCGTTGGCAAAAATGGAGTTGCCGGTGGAGTCCCCTCCTTCTTATTGGCCTTCTTCTCTCCCTCCCTACCGGCTGCCTCGGGAGTAGGAGCTGTCCTCACCGCGTCCGACCTCCCCGGCCGAACAGCACCGCCGAGAGCCTGTGGAACACTCGGCAGCACTGGCAAGTGCAGTCACCGGGTTATGCCATTATGCGTGCAAGCTTAAGCCAACGCACTTGAGCCAAAATGCCATGGCTAAGCCAACACACTGCGATGGACAATGGAGAGTTACAACCGGTTCGTTTTTAACAACGCGTTGTCAATCATATATATATATATAACTATAATGGGTAATATGAAATATGTGTATGTACACACACAAAAATAGTACCTATATGTTTAGACAAAGGTCGTCTTTACTTTCTAGGCCAGCCAATAGCCCAAAGAATCCGGACAATTTCTTTCAATTTCTAAAGTTTGCCCCTAGCCTCGTCATCCAAAAGCCCAACCGCGTCGTCAGCGAGGATGGCTCCAGAAGTATCACGCATGGCCATGTGAGGGAATGAACATGGAGGGTGTAAACGCTGTGCATGGCGCACTGCGCAAGTGTTCTTCGAGTAACAATGGAAGTAAGTTCGCAATTGTCCTTGAGGTACAAGTAGGAAGTACTGTAAGTTGGCAAGCACGTCACTGTCAACTTCAATTGCTCTTGAGCTTGGCATTGATTGAGCACACAAGTGTCATGACTGACCACTGCCAAAGGGTTTAAAGTGTTGGCCGACCTTCGGTCCAGCCTCATCAGTCCAGGAAAAAGAAAGGTCAAAAGAAAGCCAGAGAAGAAAGAATCAAACATGGAGAATGGAAGAAACAGTGAAAAAAAGCACATACATGTCAGCGTCATGTTCCAATATGTTCCTCTTTGGAAACGAAGCTAACGAAGCTGCTAACGAAGCTGCGCCTTCCCGGACTCGCTATTGTACGCTCGCCAGCAAGTGTCGGCTTTGCCTCATCTTGTGCAATGTTCCAACCTATATAAGAGCAATGGCCTCCACCCTAGTAGCGATGGCCTCATACGCACTAGCGATGGCCTCATACCTACTTGAGGCCAAGGGGGGGGGCGAAAGCTAGCGCTCCAGAATGGGAAAGTGGAGGGCAGCGAGGTAGGAAAAAACACGGCGCTCTTTTTGGAGGCAGGGGTGAAGAGTCCTTTATATGTGGCTCTTTGCCCGGATCCTCCTGCGAGAGAAGAGAGAGAAGAGAGACGGAAAGACGAGAGACAGAGAGGAGAGAGAGAGAGAGAGAGAGGAGAGAGAGATGAGAGAGATAAGAAAGAGATGAGAGAGATGAGAGAGATGAGAGAGACAGTGAGACAGTGAGACAGTGAGAGAGTGAGAGTGAGAGTGAGCGAGTGCGGCCGCAAGATACGCAACGCTAACCGCATGCCAAAGAGCGACGACAGGACGGAGTCGAACTTGCGAAGAGGGAGGAGGGAGGAGGGAGGGAGGGAAGATGGGAGGAAGACAAGGAGGAGGAGAGGGGGGGAGGTGGGGAGAGGGGAGGTGGGGAGAGGGGAGG